TTTCCCTCTCTCTTTATTATATCAATTATATTTTATGGGTATGTAACCGTATGTAACATTTGCCTTCTGTACTCTCACTCAAGTTCGAAATATTTGTATTGTCAATTGTTTTTTTAATGTAGTATATTTTATCGGACAGTCTCTTTCTGTCTCGAAATTCCACTATATAATATTTACCTTCTGATAACATGGGTGATTCACTCTTGTTCTGCGTATTATTACTATTACATTTTTTGATATAATATATTCCATATATTTTGTAATTACGCTGAAAATGATCCAAAAAAGGACCAAAACATACGCTTTTTGTGATTGTGTCTATCACTTATTGTTAGTTAAAATATCAATATAATTTGATTGTAATAAAATATATGCGCACAAATTACCATCGCGCTGGCCCTGATTGCCTTTTCCCTCCTTCGTATGATATATTCATAAGAGTCTTTATTAATAGTTTATTTTGAATTATAGTTTGTATTATATTAGCGTATGATATGTGTGATATAGATATATTAAAAGTTAAAAGCATAGTCTTTGTCTTCTTAATAAAAAAAATTCCTCTTCAGCAATCCAATCCAAATCAATTATATATCGCATTGATTAAAAAAAAAAAAAAAAAAAAAACTGCGTTATTTCGATATTATCGTAAATGTATATGTATATAGAAGGATACAGAGATAATAAAATAAGAACAAGATAAAATTTAAATAAAAAATTGATACTTATCACATGAAATATATCACGTGTCTATTATTATTCTAAAAAAAAAAAAAAACAACGTAAAATATTCGTGTAAAAGTCTTATCGAAGATTATATCGAAAAATAGTCACAAGCACTAACACAATAAGTCCAATTTGTGCATAAGTTGTAAATAAAAGTCGTAATAAAAAAGGGAATGTTATTTTTTCATCCACTTTAGTACGAATACGTACTAGGGTGGGTGAAAAATTCGATTCGCGCGAAGAGAGATTATAACATTCTCCGTCGCGGTGGCCGAGCAGATCGGGCTAGCCTGTTGAATATGAATATGAATATGAATATGTGTGTGTGTGTGTGTGTGTGTGAAATACTCTCGCACTTACCTTCTCCTCGAGCGACGGTCCGTCCTCCATCGCGTGCATAATGGCATCCGAAATGCGGGAGTCCAGCTCTCTGACGGCATTCTTGATGTTCAGTTCCAGAGGATTGTTATCGTTGTCCACCGCCGCGACGAGCCTCCCGACTGTTTCCACGTAGCCGGACCATGCGAGATCCAGTTCGTACGCCGGCTCTGCCAGGCAGCCTCTGCAACGTTTACATATTTGCATTTTTTTTTTTTCTCTCGTGCTCTCTCAACGCGAAGAGGCAACCGCTATTATCACGCGATGATCACGCGTGATTATTACGCAGATCTATCAGAAATCGCTTTTTCTCTCTTTCTCTATCTAATAATTATAACAATCTCTATGTAATAATTATAAATAATTACAAAACTGAAAAATTGGAAAAATATATAACTCTCAATCTGCGAGATATATTAATTATAAAATAATTATAATAATTATCAATCCAAATAATTATAATAATTATCAATTCAACAACTGCAATTCAACGATAAAATTAATCGAGGAGAAAGGTACAAAAGTATCGTTATTCGACCGTTTTACTGCGCTCTCCATTGTGTTCGGAAACACGGATTTGTCACACCTATTTCGACGCCCATGAGAAAAGAGATATTCGTGTTGGAAATGTTTGAAATGTTTGAAATTTTTCTCATGGATCAGCAATATGACTCACCTTATTACGTTCATGCAGAAACCGTTGCAGGACCGCACATCCTTTCCGATTCCTTTGCACTTTGGACAATAGGTCATCCTGAGCAGGGCATTGTAACAGGCCTCTTGCTGAGGGCTATTGCTACTGCCGACGGCAAACAGCACGCTATCGGTCTTGTCGAGAAAGGTCTTGCCGAGGCTTAGAGCCTGCATCAACACTCTGGTAGCCTCCAGACTCTTGCTGATCTTCTTGAATATATCTTGGGGCACGTCGCCAAACGGCTGTATGTCATCCATTGTCTTGTACAAGCAGGATTTGAATTTTTCCGTGAAATCCCGACGATCCTGATGCTGATTGACGACAAAATGATAGGCGATGGGGAAGAGACGCGTGAAGAATTCGCGAAAGCGCTCCTGCAACGTGTCCCGCGTCAACGGTTGCTGTAGATCGTCCGGGGTATTAACGGGCGATACGTAGTCCATCATCGCCTGGTAAAGCGCCCGGATCGAGGGCCTGCTCAGCACCGCCATCGAGCGATACACCTGGTCGAACATGGTCAGCGTCTTGTTCTCCGACTTTCGCAGCAGAACAATCACCGTCTCTGCAAAGACGCGCTCTCTTTAATATTTTATATGACTCTCAAGAAGAGATCTGCATTATCTCTCTCTCAATATTGATCCTTGTAACCCGGAGACTGCGAGAATGTCGAAAACTTTGACAATTTTTTTCCGGAATCGGTTTCTTCCATAGCAATGTATATATTCAAGAAAGATAAAAGAAAATGCGAGGTTTTTCCTAAAAAATTTTCCTAAATAGACAAAGTATACGAGACAAAGAATAATTCTTTGAAAATGAAAAGTGAAAGTGTATCCTTTAGGAGTCTAACAATAAGATAGTAAAACAATAAATCAACGTCCTTGTTTGTGACGATAATTTTATCTTCGACTGATCAGACTGCAAAATTATCATAAGATTAACTACTAAAATTCTTTTCGGATGACTGTTATTCTTTCGTTAGCAAATGTTAGGAAATATTATTTCTTAATAAAATAACGTAAATCAAATTTCTTTGACAGATATACATGTAAAGATTTGCCTTTGTTGAAAAAAGCAAATCGCTTATATTGTTTTAACAAATATTAGAAATGACCATATACAGGATGTTCCAGAATTAAACCGACAAACTTCAGGTGGTTATAAAAGACACCAAAACAAGCCAATTTTGCCAATAAACCCGTGTCCACACATGAGCTGTTTTGGCACTAGAGAATCAAAGATGAACAAGGGAACTTCGCAAACCCGAAAATTCTGATTTTGATGAAACTTTACACACATGTAGGAGAGATAAATAGATAAATTTAAAAATTTCCAGTTGCGGCCTAAAAATGATTTTAAGGGGTGAAATCACCCCTCTTATATAGAGCGGCTTTTTGCTTTTCTCGATATATCTCGAAAATTATTCAAGATATCAAAAAATGTTTTATACAAAAGTTTCATGGTAAAAACATCTCTATTTAACCACATTAATAAAATTTTGAAAAAATAATTTTTTTCGGAGATTTTTGTCCTTGTTAGTCCTTGATTGCGGACACGGGTTTATTGGCAAAATTGACTTGTTTTAGTGTCCTTTATAACCACCTGAAGTTTGTCGGTCTAATTCTGGGATACCCTGTATATAAAAATTATACTAAAGAATATTAATAAATTAAAATATTTCAAAAATTGTTTAGATGATTGAAAGAGTTGAACAGATTGATTTATCCGGAGAATCTATTAATAGTATTCGACCTTGTACGTAATTCGTCAGCGGTTTATCCTTGCGTTTCCTGCCTCCTTTTTTCTTTTACCAGTTCTTTTCCTAATCTAATTCGATCAAATGATTCCTCATGCAAATGCGCCCACTTGAGATTTCGTGAGTGTGACAAGAAGAGCGTGCTTAAGAGACGGACCGGGAACGAGCGCGGTCGCACTTAATCGCAAAGGCGTAAAACGAAGAAAACGGACAAGAACAAGTGTTTCTCGATTCTCGCTTCAGTTTCAAGTGGCTCAGGCAAGAATCTATGCACACTTCTTCACCTTACAAAAGTATGCACCCCACGATTTTAATAATCCTATTAAGAGAAGTGACGATTAGTCAATAATAAGGGCGAAAGGTATTTTTATATTAATGATATCGACTGTTGGGAATAAAAGTGTCAGTTATGGATAGGTTTGAAGTTCTGACAATTTAATGCAAATGTACAAGTATTGCGTATGCGTGTAAAAAAGCAACATTGTAATATAAAATATGCATATTATGTACTTGATAATATATATTATAAATCGTAGTTTAATCAAAATTATAGAATTATATATATATTTATATAATTAAAAATTTTTAAACAT